TTTTTTTTTTTTTTTGGAGAGGTTTTTTTTTGCTATAGGGCGCGTGCGCTCCCCAGACAGACAGAGACATAGAGACAGAAAGCGAGAAATCACCCCCTGGGGGATGGTCACGCTGCAATCCCTTCTCCATTCTCCTCTAGGGATCTTGGGCACGCATGCACACGCACCCAGCGTGAGTTTTAAGCCACCGGGTCCGAGACGCAAACTGCGGTCGACTACATGGGAGTCCAGCGACATAGCCATTACGCTAACTGCTGGTTCCCAATAAAATAATTCTTTAAGAAAAATTATTCCAAACTGAGACATCATGGACCAATCCGGCAGCTCGCCCTTATCACCCTTCACTTCTCAAGTATCATTTAGCAATGGTTCCTTGACCACATGTGCAAGGAACATCTTTAGATAAAATGAAGTGTCGGCTACATAGAAAACTCAGGAAAAGTTAGACATTATCTGCTGAAAATTCTATGTAAAATTCTTGGTTGCTTTGTTGGATGACTTAACACAGGTCTCAATGTAGCTCCTGACTTGTTCTTACAGTCCTCACTTTCCTTGGGGTTCCATTTTCACACTGCCATTGGTGCCAACATTCCTTCACTAGGATGATCATTTCTCACCAGAGATGAACAGGGCTGCTTTCTGGCAAGCATTAACATACGGTATTTTCCAAATAGTGCACCCAAACTTCAGCTGTCTTTTCCTATTCCAAACAAGAAGAGAAAGCTCTCCAAGTTTTGACCTAAGAGCAGCTGCATCTCCTTTTATAACCTAACCCCTGTGAATCATTGAGCCTCATTTCCATTGTACTCTTGTTGAAAGTGGTCACAGGAATCCTCCATTTTTTTTTAAATCCTTTTTTTTTTAAGTGCCAGAGGACACACACCAGAGAGAAAGCGTGTACACGCACACACCACAGCAAGTGGTCATGTTGCAATCCTTTCTCCATCTTGTCAGAATTTAGGGCATGCTTGTACATGTGTCCTGTGTGTTTCTTAAGATGCAGGCTCAGATTTGAACAGTCGGACGTGTGGAATCTGGCTGCCATGGAGGCAGTCGCGAAACTTTTTAATATTCATGTGCCCACTTCTCACCCGATTTAGTAGAATGCAGTTTTGCAGAAGCGCACAGGTGGTTCTGACGTACTGTCAGCACTGAGAACCAAGAATGGAGAAGGGACTGCAAACGTGGCCTTCCTCCCCTAGAGGGTGAATTCTCACTTTTCCTCTCACTGTCTTTGTCTTCCTCCAACCACCAGTGAGAACATGCCCTAAGGCAAAAATCTTTTGGGGGAAAAAAAAGGGAAAAAAAAGAAATTTCTGTTTGAAAACTCCAGATCTGAGCACTCACAAAGCTACTGATTAACTACAGCATCTTGGGCTCTCTCCTTCAAGGGCAGGCTTGCGTGCCAGAGAGTCAGAGAGCAAGGGAAAGTGAGAAACTACTCCCAATAGGAAATGGTCATGCTGCAGTCCCTTCTCCATCTCTCCCTCCTTTCAGACTTTAAACTTAACTCAGTTGAGTTTAACCCCTTGGTTCTCAGGGCCGACAGGGCATTAGAACCACCAGTGCTTTCCTGCAAAACTGCATTCTACTAAATCTGGGGTAAGACTTGGGTACTTGAATACTAAAAGTTTCGGAACTGCCTCCACGGCACACTGGTGATACACTGCTCAAGAGAAGCTGTCTTCCATATGGTGACTAGGGTTCAAATTCCCAGTCTGATCAGCCTAAAATATGCTGGACACGTGTGCACATAAGTACCCAAGATTTGACAGGCTAGAGGACTAGAAGAAGGAGGGGATCATGACATGACATGACTAGACTGTGGAGGATACTCTTCTCTCCCTATCTCTTGTACACATGTGCTTTATCATGAATGGAGAAAATAAGTTTTGAGGTCAGCAGGTAGATGGTAACTGGGCACTAGTCTCCCATATAGCCAACCACAGTTCAAGTCCCAGACCTGGCGGCTTGCATTCTCAATTATCCTCTCACTGGACAAATTTTTAAAAATAATAAATAAAAATAATTTTTTAACTATTTATTTATTTTTTATTTATTCATTCATTGATTTTTTTTAATTTGACCAGAGAGAGACAGAGGGTGAGAGAGAGAGAGAGAGAGAGAGAAAGTGAGAAAGCAAGCCACCAGGTCCAGGACTCGAACCCCGGTTGGCCATGTGGGAGTGTCCAGCACCTTGACCACCATGCCACCTGCTGGTCCCAATAAAAATAAATTTTTAAAAAATGTTTTAAAAGGGGGGAGGGGACCATTGAATGACATAACGGTTATGTTGATGGACTTCCACGTAGTCAACCACAGTTGAGTACAGGACAGCAGCTTGAAACTCACTGGCACCTGTGCATGCTGCCCAAAATCCGGAGAGAAGACTGGAGGTGAAGGGGTTGTGGTGTGGCCAATCCCCCCTGGGGGTTTATTTGTTGCTCTCTCTGTTTCTTTCTCCAGTGAGTGTACACACCCTACAACGATCTCTCTCTAAAAAAAAGAAAAAAAAATAGAAAAAAGAAATCTCTCTAAAAAAAAGAAAAAAAAATAGAAAAAAGAAAGGAAGGAAGAAAGAAAAGAAAAGAAAAGAAAAGAAAAGAATAGAAAAGAAAAGAGAAAGAAAGAAAGAGTTTCAGGGCCAGCAGATAGCATAGCAGTTACATCACTGGACTCCCACATGGTCTTCTGTGGTTTGAGTCCTCAACCCAGTGAAACTTGAAACTCATGCTGGGTGGGTGTGCTTGTGTGGCCAAGATCCCAGGAGGAGTGTGGAGGAGAAGAACCTGCAAGTGGCCATCCTTCCTAGAAGTGATTTCTCACTTTTCCTCTCACTGTCTCTGTCTCTGTCTCTCTCCCCTGTGAGCACATGCCCTAAGACAAAAACCTCTTAAAAAAAAAAAAGAAAAGTAGTTTCTGTTTGAAAACTGCAGATCTGAACAGTCACAAAGCTACTGATTAAACTATGGTATCTCAGACTCTCTCTTCAGAGGGCACCACTCGCTCGCTAGAGAGAGGCAGAGAGAGGAAAAGTGAGAAACTTCTCCCCATAGGAAATGGGCATGCTGAATTTCTTCTCCATCTCTCCCTCCTTTCAGGATTTTCAGGAAAACACATGCACTTGGTGTGTTTCTCAAGCTGCTGGGTCCAGGATTCAAACCACTCAACCATAAGAGATCCAGCTGCCTCAGCGTTCACACCACCAGCTGACCCCCTCAGTTTTCTGTCATTTCCACCTCCATAGCCAAAGTCCTATCACTCCAAGCCTGGTTTCCATGATTCTGACTTCCCTCCTTCAGTACAACTTCGCCAGTTAAATTTTTCTAAACCCTTCTTACTGTCATGACACTCTCCTGGTCCAAAATCTTTAATGGCATTGTCAAAGATTGTCAAGCCCCAGGACAGAAAATAGTCAGCTGAACTCTTTTTAAAGCTAATTTCTGGGCCTAAGGTTAGCAATTCTGATTTAGCAGATCTAGGGCAAGTCCTGCAAATCTGCACATTCAGTAAGTGTTGGGCAGTGGAGAGGGGGTTGATACCCGGATGGTTCAGAAATGACACCACAGAAATGGTGCTCCAGTACAGTAAATGTCAATCCTCTGACCGGGCATTCGAGAGCCTCTACCATCAACCCATGTTCTCCAACCGTGCTTTTCACTTCCTTCCAACTCCTTGCTGTGTTCCCAATGAGCTGTGTTCAATCTCAATCCTAATTCTACTTCTTTTCAAAATTTGTATTCATGTTGCTCCATTTCCCTAGAATTCTCTACTTCTTCACCACCCCCAACAAATTCCTTCCTACATAAAAACTGTGTAACCTTTAAAGCCCAGTTCAGATCTACTTCTGTCTTGTGAGACTTCTGAGTGTGGCCCACTTTAATCGTGTAAGCCTAAGTAACAAGTCCATACCTCCTTTTGTGTGTGTGTTTTTTTGTTTGTTTGTTTGTTTGTTTCATGAGAGCACCTAGCATCGTAGGAACAAAACAGCTGCTTAGTAAACTGTATTTGATTGGGTTGAAGGACTCAGTGGCTAAATCTAAATTGTATTTTATTTTTCATTTCATTTTACAGTCAAAAAAAGTGAAATAGAATGTCTCATACAACTTTTTGACAGCTTGGTGGGAAAGACTGACAGAAGATTTGGTAGCTGTGGGATAGATCGCAACACCTTTCGCAGGATTCTGCACAGCATATTTGGAATGACGAATGATATGTTGATGAATCGGGGTAAGAAGCCAGAGAGACTAAAATGGGCCAATTTGAGATGACAAGTATATATGTACTCAGTTTTTCTCAGGGCCAAACTTTAGAAAGGTGTAATTCTAGTAGTTAGCATGCTACAGAATAATTGGTTTGATTTTTAATACAAATTCACTCAGGATTTCATATCTCTCAGGTGTATAGCTTTGAGAAATGACTAGTAATAAACTGAATAAGGTGAATTGTTTGTTTGCTTTTTCTGGGTTTTTGCCACCGGGCAGGTGTGCTTGCCCTGGAGAGATAGAGGGAAAGCAAATAACCATCCTCCATGGGGATGGCCACGTGACAATCTCTTCTCCTTCATTCTCTCAGGATTCTGGGTGTGCATGCACATGCACCTGGTGTAACCTTCAAGCCCCTAGGTCCAGGGAGCCAGCCATATAGGAGTCTAGTGCCTTTCACCACCACACCATCCACTGGCCCTGCAGTATTGTTTTTAAAAAATAAGCAGACCTAGTCTTAGTGGCATGGTGATATATGCTGCTGCTTGAAAGGCTGAGGCCACATGGGTGACCCAGGTTCAATTCTGGGCCCACCCAAAAAAGCCAGGTATGGTGGTGTACGCCTACAGTTCCAGCTACTGAGGAGGCTGAGGCAGGAGTATTGCCATAGAGTCAGACCTCATCTAAAATAACACCCTGCTTATGCATCCACCCCACTCAAGAAAGATACACAGTTTGTAGCTTTTAATCATGATGTCTTGGGATTCACATAAGTTATTCAATTACTTTTTTCCTCATAAAAATGAAGACTGCATCAGTCAGTATTAAAAAAAATTGATAATGATTCATTTTATTGGAAAAATAAAAGGAAAGATCATATATATTTTAAAAATTATTTTATTTAACTTTATTCTATTTATTTATTTTAATTTGACCAGAGAGAGAGAGAAAGTGAGAAAGCAAGCCGCAAGGTCTGGGACTTGAACTGAAGTTGCCCATGTGGAAGTCCAGCGCCCTTAACCACCACACCATCTGCTGGCCCCCATATATTTAAAACAGAAAATTATTTAATTTTGGACCAGCAGGTGGTGTGGTGGTTAGGACACTGGACTCCCACATGATGGACCATGTGGGAGTGGTCCAGGAGGACTCCAGAACTCCACCAAGTCCTGGACATGTGACTCACTTTTCACTCTCTCTCTCTCTCTGATGAGTGCACATGCCCTATACCAAAATTTAAAAATAATAATTACGACAATATAGTAAATAAAAATTTTTAAAAAGAAAAATGATTTCATTTGAACCAGTTAGTTTCAGTAACTTTTTTTTAGGATCATTTATTTAATGCTATCATCGTTGCTATTTTTAAAATTTGCTACAGGGCATATGTGCACACCAGAGAGAGAGAGAGAAAGTGAGAATGCAAGCCACCAGGTCCAGGACTCAAACTGAGGTCAGCCATGTGGGAGTCCAGCACCTTCACCACCACACCACCTGCTGGCCCTCAGTAAGAAATATTTAAAGTGTACAATTTGATAAGTTTTGATATCTATGAAGCCATTGCCACAATCAAAACAATTAATGTATCCATTATCTCCAGAAGAGTAAATAATATTTGACTTATTTTCTGTAGGGTAATACAAGCACTCCTTCCTCGCTTAACAACAAAGTTATGTTTCTAGGTCATTAAGTGAACTGATTGTTAAACAAATAGTTTAAAGGAGATGTCTTGTGGTGTGTTGCAGCACCATAGGGTATGCATTCTTCAATAGATATCACATGAAACCCCCCTAGAATAATGTAATTCTATCCATACAAAAAGCAGACATTAGATAAGCAACAAGACACACCACAATGCAGTAATATAAATCTGCATAATCTTGGGCACGCATGCACATGCACCCGGCGTGAGTTTTAAGCCACCAGGTCCGGGATGCGAACCGCAGTCGACTACATGGGAGTCCAGCGACATTGCCATTATGCTAACTGCTGGTCCCAATAAGGTACAAATTTATAAACAAAATATTTACCCTTGCATGATTCCAAACACTTCATGTGGTGAATACTAACTGTGTGAACATACAGAAAAGGGATTCCCAAGACTCTCACATACTGAGAAGGGGATTGCTCTGGAGAACTGGTCAAAAGTCTGAGGGGGCATTAAACGGGTTGATCATTAAGTGAGGAGCACCTATAGTAATATTTCATTAGTAATTTCCAAAATAATATGTTACCTTAGTAACTTACTTTCAATATTTTGCAAACTCTTTAGAACATAAATTTTGCCACTTTTTCAGAGAATTACCACCTTAATTAGCTCCACTGTTTGTCTTCTTGGCTCATGGTAACTGTACAAAGCATCCCAAAGGAAACTCATCGTTGTGGAGGAGAATGACTCCTTTTCATTCTTTAGAAATACAGGGACAGAGATCAGATGGCAGTAAAACATGACACTCTGTGAGGCAATCCCATATGAGGAGGTTGCTGGTTCAAGTCCAGAGACCTCCCTGAGTGTGCAAGGCACACGCTTGCCTATCATCTGGTGCTGGTTAAAGGCTATGGGTGAATCATCGTGTCAAGACCCTTTGGGAGATATTCTCTCTTTTATCTCTCTCTCTACTTCTTTCTCACCCATGGAAGAAATAAACTTTAATAAATATATGAAGAAAAACACTTCCAATTACTTTGATTCTTTCAAGAAGTCTGTGCTATAACCATTTCCTCCTTAATTTGGAAGAAAAAGTATTTTGTCTATTCATACATACATAATGTTGGACTATAAATCTAAATTACAGTACAAGGGTCAGTACGTGGCTCATGGTTAAGGCACTGGATTCCCACATGGCCGACTGCAATTTGAGTCCCAGACCTGATGGCTTGTTTTCTCACCTTCTCACTCTCTTGCTTTGGTGAGTGTATGTGCCCTATAGAAAATTAAAAATAATTGTCATGCTTTAAACTTATGAGTAAGAAAAAAAATAAATAAAATAATTCTTTTTAAAAATTATCCTTACACACTTTTTTCTTTCAGTGTTTTTTGCATTTGACGAAGACAATGATAACTACATAAATGTGAAAGAGTGGGTTAAAGGATTATCAGTGTTTCTTCGAGGGACTTTCGAAGAAAAGCTGAAGTGTAAGGTTTCTATTCATGATTACTGTTCCAATAATATATACTATTTAGCAAGAGTTTAAGTATTTAAAAATATAAAATCAGCGTTCTCAGTAGACACTGCAAAAATAGTTTACGATGTTTTAAATAAGAAACAAAACACACGCACCCAGCATTTTTTCAAGCTGCTAGGTCTAGACCTCAAACTGTGCTGTTGACAGTGGAGTCCAGTGCCTAACTACCATGCCACTGACTGGTCCTGTTTTGCATTTTTTAAAAAAATAATTCTTTGATTTAACTTTATTTATTTATTTATTTATTTAAATTTGGCCAGGGAGGGACAAAGAGAGAGAAAGAGAGCGAGAGAGAAAGTGAGAAAGCAAGCTTCCTGGTCCAGGATTGGAACCACAGTCGACTAAATGGGAGTCCAGTGCTTTTAACCACCACGCCACCTGCTGGCCCACATTTTTCCCTCCAATATAATTTTTTGTGAGATAACGTTTAAAGAAAATTTCCTGCAGTATTGTTCTTATACTCCTCCAAAATTTCACTGAGAAGTAGAAATGTCAGTTTCACGGTTTTCACTGTTGTGTTCCCAGGACTGGAGTAATGTCATATAGTAAATGTACTTACACAGTAAATGTAAGTCACAGAGGTCACTCTCCAGAGAAAGGTTATTTGAGGATTTTTTATAGTGTGGATGAGCAGACCCAAGGAAATGACTATCTAAATATATTGAAAACAATGTTTTTGACATTGATATATAAGGGGACTTCAAAAATGCATGGAAAATTGAATTAAAATAAGTTTACGGTGATGCAAAAAATGTGGAAACCTATGCATTTTTTTCATAATATGCATTTTGTTAACTTATTGTATGCACTTATGTATATGTATGTATTGTATGATCAAAGGCTTAAAACATTTCTCTTTTACTGCAGTTTCATAAGTTTGTTTCTTAATTGCCAGTGAGTGCATTTACTTGCCAGACAAGGACAAAGGGAGGGAGAAAGAGCCTCGCAAAAGGGCATGCTCAAACTGCAATTTCTTTTATTCCATTTCTCCATCCTGTTGGGATTTAGGGCACACACGATTTCATTTTCAACCTGATGGGGTCAGGATTCAAATTGCTGTCACCATATGGGATCCAGCTCCCTTAACCACTAAGCTACTGGACTGACCCCAGTTTCATAACATTTTTAAACCTTCAATATAAAAATCCAGATACTGGGACCAGCCAATGGTATAATGGTTATGTTGCTGGACTCCCACATAGTTGATTGCAGTTTAAGTCCCAGACCCAGCAGCTGAAAACTCACGCCAGGCATGTGTGCATATATGCCCATGATCCTGAGAGGAGAATGGAGGAGAAGGGATTGTGGTGTGGCCATCCCCACTAAGTGTGGGAAGCTGCACACCAGTGAGTCTGCCGAGGTTTCTCAGAGAGCAAACAATTACCATGATTGGTTCCCTTCCAAAAACCTGACCTTCGAAACCTTGCTCTGATTGGCCACTAGAATCCCTCAAATTTGCATATCCGGCCCCTCATGATTGGTCCAAAAGCAACCAATCATAACCCAC